CATCAAATATTCAGTCTGCGGGCTTATTTATTTCGGGCAAAGGAAACGGAATGGTAAATCCTGCCTTGATTTTTTAACATGTCTTAGTCCCAAAAAACATCGCTCAAATATATGGGTTTGTTTTCCTAAAGGCACATTAAGTTGGGGTGTATTTCGAGTCAGTGTTTGGCGGAGATAACACTATAAATATTAAGAACAAAATTTTACGGTGTGCTACTAATCCAGTAAAGCAGGCTTGCGATCTTATTGTGGTCGGGTCCCGCAATAGTCTTCGCTGAACCGATGCACGAATGGGCAGGTCCGTCTGGGTGAGCACCCTGACCTCACAGAAGACCGGCATGAAGTGGAAGTGTGTAAACTTCTTGCGTTTCGTCTGGTGAGTGAGGTAGCCGGAACCCACTTTATTAAAGGGGGCAACGCATGTGCAACCCTACGCGTGTTACAAATGTCCATGGGTGGCTGTTGTCACTTAACATCAGGTGGTTCGACAATCCGCTAGCCCACTTGTCACATAAAAAATTGGTGCGTGTACTTATGTACGCGCGTGAGAAGTTATACTTCTTTGGCATTATTAAAAAATAGTTTTTAATTGCATGCAAATAATTAATTGCAATAAAATAATAAGACTAGAAAAGGATATAAATAATTAAAGTAATAAAATTATGAAAGCACCATCTACATTCTTTATTGAGAACTGTAACGGGCGAATGTGATTGAGAATTTGCTGCCATCTGTGAAAAAATAAGCGGTTTAGCCGGCAGCTTCAAAGGTGTCACTTTCGTGTTACAGTGATGCGCGCGCATCTTAAAATTTCACTCTCATCATTTTTTCATAACGCGTCTAAAAGAGTGTAACTTCAATATAAATTCAAATAGCAGGTTTTTTTAATAGTTGCAATGTTAAGCACATGTTTCAAATAATTTTGTAAAACCACTGAAACATTAAAATAAATATTGTTTGTCTAAAAGCGATCAGGGTTCACAGTATGATAGATAAACTAATAGTTTAATGAAACCAATTATTTAACCTTTAAACCTTTTCGACATGTTTATAAGGAAATACTGCCATTTCATAATAAGTATGTCTATTCTCTATGCAACAACAGTCTTAAAAGTCTAGAAACTATTAGAGATCTAGCAGTCATGTTGGATAGTAAATTGACACTAGATTCTCATATTGATTATTCTATAACATAGCTTACCAAATGTATTCATTTACGCGCCAGTAATACCTTTAAAATATGACATACTCGTATTTTCGTCTTTATAAATTTTTGATACGTTCGCAATACTGTGAACGTATCAAATATTGATACATTACCATTTGGGATCCCTATTACAAAACATATCCCGACATAAAAAATTAAAAATAATCTCTTAAAAAAAAATGAGGTCACAAGTACGTACCAGATTCAGATTTACAATCTAATTCTGCATATGCTCTATGCTGCTCTATAAATATGTTCGTCGTCTATAAAATCACCCTGTATAAACATCCAGACACTGAAAAAACACTATGTTCATCACACCACATTTTTCCAGTAGTGGGGATCGAATTCACACCCTGTGGCGCAAGAGGCAGGGTCACTACCCACTACGTCGGATCGTTACAGTGACGAAGCAAGAAGCTTCGTACCGCATTTCCAAGCGAGATCCATCGTCACTCATGCTTTGGCTGAGAGTCTCATATTCTTATAGTAGGTCTAGGGTTACATAGGTCTTAACTGTGGTATATTTTTCTGAGAAATGTGTAAAAACGAACGTTTGTGAAGACGGTATTGTGTATTAAAATACAGTTCTCATAAACGTTGCGGAACCTTTTCTCATTTCATGTTCAAAATCAAGACACTGGGTATTTCTCACAAGAAGCAAGATTCTGACAGCTTGTTAAGCGAAAAGCACGCTCAACTGGCTGGCGGCGCGTGAATTTGTCTTCTATCCGACACCAAGACTGGCCTTCTCCAGTCCAGGTTAAAATACGTTGTATTACAATATATGGCAGCACAGTGATTACAACAGATGCAATTTTATTGCGATTAGGGCTCCTAAATTTTTTAATTCACGAAATATCGACCCATTCTTATCCTCTCCATCTGTGGCTAAGGAAACTTTAACAAAGCAATATTTTTCTACGTTTTAAATTTGGCATTATTTTTTCAGTACCTGTAATTATGTACCTACTAAAGGTGGAACTTGTAATTATTGGCTCTTTATATATGATAAAGAACGTTCTCAAAGTAATTTTATTTTCAATTAGTACCTACTTAATAGTTGTAAGTTTTCCTTATAAAATAAAAACAAAACAGAGGAAAAGGCCTGCTCAAAGCCTCATCCTTCTGCTATTGACGAGGCCACGAAGTTTGAGGAGATTGTATTTAAAATCACGGGGGTCATTTTGAACTATTTTATTAGGAAGCCTGTGAATCTATGTTTTAGTGAGTTCCTTTTGATATATAAATTAATTTACTGTAAAAAACATATACGTGTCAATTATTCCACAAACAAATTAAAGGTCAAAATAAAATGCTTTAAAAGTTAATGGCGATGAAATCAGTTTATCAGTTTATTTTTTTTATTTTTAATATTTGTCTCAATAAATACGTTTTAAACTGATAGTATAGTGTTATGGCCATATAAGACAAGAAATATCTTTAGAGAATATCTTTAGGAATATCTTAAGAGATGTCTTTATTCTGTATGTATTCTTAAATTTCGAAATACATAAAGATAAATAAACGTGCACTACTCTGTACTAAATTCATTTTATATTAACTTGCCCAAAATCGGCCTTTATTGAATTAAGTATTATAATCGCCGAGAAATATTTTTATCTCTAAAATTGGATAATTCTGCGGATAGAACTTTCAGTTACCTGTTTTATTAAAAATCTTATTGGAGACCACGGGAGGGATGAAATTTCAAATTAAATTTCTTTCGGAATTTGAATCAGTTGAATTGTTTTGGATGTTTCAAGAATCAAAATTTTTGGATATCGCAGAAATGAGGAAGCAGATAGGGCCATATAAAATTATAACAACATTTCCGCGGCCGATACTATTTTATTATATTTATCTAAGAGCGTTTATTTACCACAAGTATTCTTATTAGAATTATTTTGTTTTGTTATCCATTCTTATTAGAATGGATAACAAAACAAAACAAATAAAAAATATTAAAGTAAGGTGGCTCAGAAAACGTATTTCTTGAATTTTAAAATCTATCTCGAAAAAATTCACCTGTTTATTTTTCTTGCATTTATTTACAAGAATCTCACCAAGTCCCAAACAAACTTATTATATACCATTTTCAACGAGCGATGACAAAACTCGCTGAACGCTCTGATGACCTTCTAATTAAACTTCAGCTGTTTCGTGGAGCGAGTTAATTGGGGTAGATATCCATTATTATGCTTTAATCTCAGTTCCCGACGAGTTCGTATTAAAGTGGAAAAGTAAATTTTGCATACGATTAGCGTACTTTCGCTGGAAGAGTTCAGACTTTTTTCCAAAAAAAAAATGGTATCACGAGTTTGGTAGTTGAACAAGACAACTAGTTTTTTAGGGTGCCGTACCCAAAGTTTAAAACGGGACCCTATTACTAAGATACCGCTGTATGTCTGTCCGTCTGTCACCAGAATGTACCTCATGAACTGATGTATTTGTGTTGCCGCTATAACTATACATAAAGAAAAGAATAAAAAAAATATTTAAGTGGGGCTCCCATACAACAGACATGATTATTGCCGTTTTTATTATTAATGGTATATAACCCTTCGTGCTCGAGTCACAGATTCGCACTTGTTTTACTTTTTATAACGAAAATGAGGCAAACGGCGTCACCTGATGGTAATCGTTCACCGCCGTCCATGGACACTCGCAACACCAGAGAAGTCGCAAACGCTTTGCCGGGCTTTTTTATTATTATTATTATCATTTATTTCAAGTTACCAAGACTCATATACATCCACATTTAAAATTACATTTTATCATATTAAAAAACAAAAAGAAAGAAAGAAAAAAAGGAGAAGGAATTTGAGAAGGAATAGACTATTTGCTTAAAGGTACTTAATTTGTATCGGTACGAAAATACCGCCGGTGACAACTAACTCCACAACTTGGTTGTGCGTGGCTTAAAGCTACGTCAAAAACGCACAATCGTGAACAGCTAACCAGCGAGCTGGAAGCGATGGTGCGTCGTACGGTAGCGACATTCAGCAGTAGATTTTCACCAGCGCACGCCTCGTGATAGATTCGCTAAAAAATGCAAATAGATGAAACATCTCATCTCAACATGAGACGATTGGAAAGGACCTGTTCGCCAAACATTCGAGCAGCTCTACATTTGATTCGCTTAAATGGAAGGATAATGGAGCTTGTATTGGAGCGCCCTAGCCCGGAGATAGTTATGCCTATTACAAGTTTCAGTTGTTCAATTTCATTATTTCGCATCTTTATTTATAAAATACTCGTCTAGAGTTCAGTAACTTAGCTAAAAGGTAAAAAAGGAACCCTTATAAGATCACTCTCTAATCCATGAGTCACCACTGATTTTCTCAGAAACAGTTTTTTGACCATAGCAAGTAGAAATTTATACCAGATATTGAGGTCTATAGTCCCTATTAGATATATAGAGCTCAAGGTCCTGTGTCAACACGATAAAAAGATATAGGATATCATTATATAAACTTAAATATACGCTAAAACTTGTAAGTACCAAAATTTACCTTTATATTCATTTTTTTTTTTTTTTTTTTTTTTTTCGGAGTTTTCCCGTTTCCAATTCTTTATATCGGTATAATGAGTAAGTAGGCTTACCATTTCGACTAGCACTCAACCGGTTTTTTTTATATTATAGGGACTCAAACTCAGTTTTTTGTAGTCAACTAAGCAATGCTTTTATGTTTCCTTAAGATTCAAATGCTCTAACAATTTACCACCTAGGAATTTATCATAACTATGGAAGTATACTTTTCTTAATTAACATTGATTACATCAATTTTCATAATAAACTCTCAGCTGCAACCGAAACGGCTCTCCAAACATTTTCGGCGATCATCGGTACTTCTTCCCTTGGTACGATAACGCCATCTTCACCACTTGGCGCTATATCAATATTAAACGTATACAGTACTTCATTTTGCCGCATATAGTCTGTGCTCGTTCCTGAGGCTCTATCACCGTATGCGCTTGATGCTACGTCTAAATAATAACGGTCACCCATCGCCGCAACCATATCGAGACCGAGCAAGTGATGTTGAAGGAACATTCCACTAGCAGCTCTTTCATACTGCCACGGGTAAGATATATAACCTCCGGTGTTTTGCAAGGATATATAAAGGCGTGTCCTGCCCTTGTTTGATTCTAACGAAGACCGCACCAAACGGCTTTCAGCTTCTGAAAAGGCTTCTATGCCACCGTACAAGTGGCTGCAGGGACTTGAACTTGAGTCTGATTGAAGCCATGCGATATCAAAGTTCCGATTAATGTTGACTCCCGGACATATGGCACCCAAATGACTCCGCACACTTCTCGACTTCATCCACAACCGCAACTGGAAAGTAGGAAATTTTAGCATTTATTTTAATTATTATTGACGAGACCAAAATAATTTGACAACTGAAAAACACTAAGGTCTTTGGATATGATAAAATTTCAACATATATTTTAAAAGCACGCATTGGTTTAGTATTACCGGTTTCATGATACATTTTAATTATTTCTCTCTCACAGGTTATTTTTCAGATAAACTAAAGCTGTCTATTAAAATATGTAGAAAAAGTACGAAAACATTGTCGCCGCTGTGGGAATCAAACCTACGTCTTCGGCATTCACGGCCTGACGCTTTAACCACTAAACTAAACGGCTGATACCACAGCGGCGACAATCTTTTCGTACTTTTACTACATATTTTAATATTAAATCTTAAGTGCAAAGATTATTCTTATTCTTATTCTTTATTGTACACAAAAAAACAAAAAATACAGTTACAAATAAAGGATTACAAAAAAGACTGTACAAAGGCGAGCTTAACCCTAAACAGAGTTCTCTGCCAGCAAACCTTTCGTAATAATTAAAAATAAATAAGTAATCAAAGGAAAATAGGTAGGTGTGTACAATGAAAATTAACTTACAGACTAAAATAAGTAATTGAATAATTCTTAATACATAATACATAATTATAATTAATACACATATACTACTACATACTAATACAATATAAAAAAAAGAATATACTAATACATATGCTTAAGTACATATATATATTTATACATCAGACGAGTATATTAGTGCATGTGACGTTTTATGCATCGGAGGATAAAAAATATTGTTTTACTCTTGTGCGGAAAATTTTTATGGATGGGCTGGCACGTATGCTGTGTGGAAGCGAGTTCCATAGCTTGATTGCTTTTATTGTATATGATTCGCCATACCGTCTAGATGTGTGGGATGGAATTTTAAGAAGCAGAGAATTGGCACGTCGGCATTGAGTTCCGCGTGGCACTAAATATGTAAAACGCTCTCGAAGATATGAAGGAGCAAGAGGGTTGAAAAGCAAGAAGTAAAGGAAAGAGATCTCGACGTTTACGTACGGGGAGCCATTTTAATTGTTTCCTGTACTCCGAAACATGATCGAATTTGCGGAGACCGAAAATGAAACGAATGCATAGGTTTTGAAGACGTTCTAATTTGTTCCAAAGTTCTTCCGTGGCATCAAGGAAACAAGTATCTGCGTAGTCAATTAAAAGAAGAAGAAGAGTATGAGCTAAAGTGATTTTTGTTTTTATCGGTAGAAAGAATTGAAGACGTTTTAGAGATTGGAACGAATAGTTAACTTTTTTGCTAATATCGTTAATATGAGATGCCCATGACATATGTTTATCGAAAACCACTCCCAAATTTTTTGCAGAGTCCGAAAAAGGAATTTGGACATTGTCATAAATTACATCCGGGAGTTTTGAGCAATCTAGATGTTTTAAATAATAGGAGCTCCCAATAATTAAAACTTTTGATTTGCCAGGATTAACGAGGAGTCCAAAAGACTTTGCCCAATTACTAATTCTGCTCAAGTCAGCATTAAGTATAGTAATGGCTTCCTCGGCATCTTCAATTTTAAAGTGCCGATAAAGCTGTAAGTCGTCAGCGTAGAGATGGTAGTGTGAAGTAAGAACAGAAACTAAAGTGTTAATAAAAATGGAGAAGAGGAGTGGGGAAAGGACGCTACCCTGAGGAACGCCAGCAGTGAGATCACACCACTCGGAAAATTCATCCTCGTGGCGAACACACTGCGTGCGGCCCTCAAGGTATGACTGAAACCATGAGATAACCGAATCCGAGATATTTAACGATGACAGAATACCCAGAAGCACACCATGGTCGACCGAATTAAATGCACTACTGAAATCCAGTAATGTTAGAACTGTGAGATGTTTATTGTCCATAGCCCAGCGTATATCATCGGATACTTTCAGTAAAGCACTGACTGTGCTGTGGCCAGGACGAAAACCGGATTGTAACGGACTCAGCAGGCTATAAGAAAAGAGGAAAAGAGAAAGTTGCTTGTGAACTACTGTCTCCAAGACTTTGGATAGAATAGGGAGAATAGAAATAGGGCGAAATTGAGATATCGCTGAAGGAGTAGAAGTTTTTGGAAGAGGAATTACCAAAGCTTTTTTCCAAATAGATGGAAAAGAGGAAGTATTCAAAGAAGAATTAATAAGATGAGAAATGATAGGAAGAAGCTCGTGGGAAATAGGTTTTATCATCCGAAGAGAGATACCGTCATAACCAATGGCATTAGTTGTAATTTTGTCAATTGCTTTTCTGACGTCATCCTCAGTTACGTCGCTAAAATTAAAAGGAGGACATATAGGTTTAGGAAGATTGGAAAGAAGGCTTAAAGAGGTGGATTTGAGCGATTGGTTTATAGTTATAGGAGGTTGAGAAAAATGACGATTGAGCTCATTTAGGTCAAACTGAACATTAGATTCTTTTTGTGAGTGACCTATACCCAGGCTTCTGAGATGATTCCACATAAGTGAAGATTGAGATTGAGAATTCTCAACTATGTTGTGAATGTGTCTCCTTTTCGCGTCACGGCACATTTTGCTGCAGCAATTGCGGAGTTTTTTATAGGCTATTAAATTACTGTCCGTAGGATTCTTTTTGTATGCTCTTTTTGCCTTATTCCTTTTCGACATAAGTTTTTTTATGGCTGGAGTGATCCAAGGAGCTGGGAGATGTTTTACTTTAACTCGTCTAAGAGGTGCATACTTATCGATTGCATTTAAGATAATATTATTAAAAGCAGATATCATATCATCAACATTATGTGCACCCACAAGAGGAGACCAGTCGATGACCTTGAGGTCATCTATTAGTAGATCCCAATTAATTGCTTTAAAAGGTCTCAACAATAAAAATTTTGGCTCGCGTTTGGGCTTCAGGATATTGTAAGAAAGGAAAATAAGATCGTGGTATGAAAATGGAGCAGAAAGCTGACCATGGGAAGAGACACGGTCAATGTTAGAAACAATAATGAGGTCTAAAAGTGAAGGAGAAGAGTTAGGAGAGTAATAATAATAATAAATATTCTTTATTGCACACCAAAATGCAAACAAAATACAAAACAAAACCTTAAAGTTTAAATGATAGGTACAATGGGCGGCCTTATTACTAAAAGTAATTTCTTCCAGGCAACCTTTGGATGGATTGGAATAAATTAAGGAATAAAAGGTGTGGGTTAATTTAATGAAGGAATTAAATAATATCGTAACTACAATAAAAGAGAGAAAAATGAAAATAATAATAATAAGACAAACATGTTACTTAATAAGTATATATGTATCTGCATAAAGCTAACAAAATATACATATAAATATACATATACAGACATACATATAGACATATAAATACATACATATAAACATATACATACATACGAATACATATATCATTTTTAAGAAATACAGTTACAGCGATAAGTAGTGATTCTTTACACGGTTTTTGAAAGTAGTTATTGTCTGAGCGCGTCTTACTTCTAGAGGTAGATCATTCCAGAGTCGCGCACCCTGCACCATAAATGACCTACTCATGAACTTGGTTTTGTGTGTAGGAATTTTTAGCTCCAAATTTTCTGATGATCTCAGGGACTTAGAGTGGGAATCGCGAAGAAATTGGAAACGTTCCTTTAGATAGGTAGGATATGAAGGATTGAACAGTATGTTGTAAACAAGAGAAAGTATGTGAGCATTCCGGCGAAGACGAATACGTAGCCACTTGAGCTTAACACGGAAATGTGAGATATGATCATATTTGCGCAAGCCAAATATGTTATATAATAAAAATATGTTAAATTTTGAATTCGCTCTAGCTTATCAAGTAGCTCCTCAGTGAGATCTAGATAACTGACATCCGCATAGTCGAGTATCGGAAGAAGCAGATTTTGTGCAAGAGCAATTTTGGTGGCAGTAGGAAGGAAGTTGCGTAATCTTGAATGAGATGAATCATGATGAATCGAGAATGATGTGTTGCAGAGAGAGGAAGAATATGTAGATTAAGGGACGAGGTGAGATCAAGGAGTTTTTTACTGCGTGCGTCATTTTTAAGAAGACAGGTGTTAAAATCCCCTAAAATAATTATGTGATCAAAAAGAGGAATTAGATTTTGGAGCTTACTATCCAAAGAGAAAAAGTAGTCTATATTGCGGGATGGAGGGTAATAAACCCCTAGTAAAACTTTAGAGCAATTAACTATTATTTCTATAAATAAATGTTCAGCAAAATTACAATATGGGTTTGGAGATTTGTCTATAATTTTGTAAGGAATATCTTCTCTTAGGTAAATTGCAACACCACCATACCCTTTACCTGTTCTATCATTACGAATTAATTGAAAACCAGGAAGAAAGTATTGAGAAGAAGGGAGACCTGGTTTGAGAAACGTTTCTGAGATAAGTAAGGCATCAATCAATTTTGAATCAAATGCCGACAAAAGATCTGCATAATGCGCGTGAATGCTTTGGGCATTTATGTGGGTAATGTTGAGGTTATTATTATAATTACAGAAGGCAGCATCTAGTTCATGACGCAAATCAAAAGAGTCATTAAAAACACTAGCATAGCTCCCATCGGATGCACTAGAAGATGTGCAGGAGAAAAAATCATCATCTAGCACTATATCACACATATTATAAAAATATATATAATAGTAATATATAAAATACTATATAATAATAAAATAATTTAAAAATGAAACAAAGTAATTTAGGTAAGATAAAAGGCCTGTCGAAATACTCGTAAGCAAATAAAATCTTTAATCAAATCTTAGGCTTAATTTAAGTAAATGTAGTGTATACGTGTAATAAAAATTTTACAACTTCGATTAACGTAAAATTTACAAAGTTTAAAAATTTGCTATCTACCTGCTAGCAGTGAATTTTACAGCAACAAGAAATAAATTATTATAATATACGTATTCAAAAACTAATCTATCTTAAAAAGTAAACAAACATACAAAGACTACTCTTTTCATTAAACTAATAAATATTTAAAATGTATTAAAAAATGCTTAAAAACTCATACAATAAAATTTAAGGTGGGAAATAAAGAAAATAATATCAGTGTTTTTCTTTATAAAATGGCCTAGTGTGGCGGGCGAAAAGTACAGACGTCAGGGCATAAAACTGAACGTCAAATGACAGTTTACAATACACATAGGTTGCCAGTTGTCAGTTATCATTTTGTAAACAATGCAAGTTGCAAAAATTATTATCATTAGAATTAAACAGAGTGTTAATATACTATTTTATCGTGATGTGATAATTAAAGATTTTGAGTTAGATAAATAGTGGTCAAAAGTTATGCCACAGATGCCTATATAATCAAAACAGACTATTTTTTGGAAGAATTGCCAGCCCGTCGGCTTTTGGATGCTACAGCAGGTTCCCTGGATGTCGCAGCAGTCACCTTCGTCACCAGAGTCACATCGATCTTTTCAACCTCAGCAGTAGATCTGATCCGATGGCGCACGCCGTTGGCCCCCAGCACATAAATAAAACCTTCATGCATCCAGCATTTGGAGATTCCGAATTTACGACGAGCCATCATGAACGCATCATGTCGACTCTTGGTTAAAAACTCTGAGAGCGTGATACCCGTACCTTTAAGGCATTTCTTGGCAAACCAGATTTTGTTTTTTAATTCAAGCTCGCGCAACTTAAACAAAATTGGTCGAGGCTTATCAGGGCTTGGACTACGACCCATCCTTTGGCAGCGCGAAATATCATCGGCTGATAATCCAGGAATTTTTAAGGAGTCAGCAACAGTTTGTGTTATTACCGCTACACTGTTCTCATTTTTACCCTTTGGGATGCCATGTAATAGAAGAATCTTGCGCCTGCTTCGCATCTCCATATTGTCAGTCTGTTGCGCAAGAAGATTTACCTGATCTTGAAGGTTGCGAAGAGCAGTTACAATGAACTGTCTAAGTGTGCCAAATTCAGTTGTTAACGTCGTAATATTGGAAGATGGAGTAGCAGCTTGGAGCTCACCTTGATAAGCGTCCATGCGTTGAATTTTGTGTGTGACGGCGCAGTATTGAGACAAGATATGTATGAGCAATACGTTTTTAAAACAGGAAGGAACACTAATAGGCAGGTATTGTAACTAGTACATCACTTTTTTATAAAATTAAGGCGCTGATATTACGTTTTCAAATTTTAAAAAGCAAATAACTAAGAGACGTAACAAAGATGATGTGTTTAGTCCACCTACCCCACACACTTTCACTACTACACTGATTAGCACTATAAACAATTTTAAATTTCTAAAAAAAAATGGTGACATCTCTTGTTCGAATTATCGTTGTAAAACAATATTACAAATTGTTTGCATGCTGGAAAGGATATAACAATAGATGCGTCCAGCATTGCTTCAAATGCTAAAAACCAATGTAGACAAAAGACGTTAAGACTTTCGTCGGTGTGGCTATCAGCCGTTTAGCCGTTTAGCTGGTTAAAGCGTCAGGCCGCGAATGCCGAAGACGTGGGTTCGATTCCCACAGTGGCGACAATCGTTTCGTACTTTTTCTACATATTTTAATATCAAATATTAAGTACAAAGATTAGCACTATAAACAATTTAAATTTCTAAATATATCATAAAGCCAATGCACACAAAGAGAGATGAAAATCACGAAAATATATATAGTTGTTATACGTGTATTAGTAAAACATTTAGAAAATGCTATGCACAATAGAATTAATAATTTTCTGAATAAACATAAAATTATTAAGGTAGCTTTTTTTGATGGCAAAATGGCTTTCAAAAATACTAGTCCACTCCAGTCCAGTAACTAAACCGCTCTAATCTTGATCATCTCTTCTTGATAATTTATTGTCGTTACTATTGTACTAAATTATGACATTATCTTCAATTTTTTATACCTATTTTATTTTTCTGACTGACACGTTTTGTAATATTTATGGAAATAAATTTTGATATAATTTTTGAATCAAATCTACCTAATATTGTTAATTTATTGTTAATTTCAATATGTGTGCATTAACACCATGAAGACAACCAAAGGTATTTTAGGAACATCGATATTTATTTTTATTAATTCAGTCTCATGTGTTGGCAACACTAAAGGAAGTCATTCCTTGAGGTTGTTGGCAATGCTAAAAGAAGTGTCATTCTGTGGGGTATAAATGAAGCTGCAAGAAGCATTTCGTGGTCTTCGTCGTAGTCGTCGTCTTCTTTGGCTGTCAAACCAGAAGTATACACGATAGTGCTGCCCAATCGGTATTATGAATTAAATCGTTAGAGTGGTGTTTCATTAGTGATATTATAGTGATAAAATAAGTAATTATGCCAGTGTCATTGTTGTGCAAAGTGAAACTACGGTGATTTGGTAAAAGTATTTATATTTCTACCTTCTTAGCTCGATAAAATAAAGTATAGCCAACACATTTTTCCGACACTAGCAAAGAGCGAACTTTGGTGGCTAGAATTTAGCGACAAAATCAAATCAAAACATTTTTATTTGCAGTGAGGGTGTCAGAGTTCATTACGCCAGGAATGCTCAATTTGTAGGAAAAATGTAGGAATGGCTTATTTACGAGAAGTAAGTGGAATAGTTGCGGTGTTCAGTCACAGTTTAGAGAAATCATATAATCACATAAAAATATGAAGGTCACTCACATTTGTATGCGTGTATTCGTATCCATCCGGATTCAACACAGGAATTATGATCCACTCGTAGCCATTTAAGAGTCTGCTATGATCACTATCCAATAATTTATGAACAATATTCATTGATGAAGGTACGGTAATCCACTGTCTTGGAATGATTCCCGCTTCTACGATCACAATAGGCTTATCATTTGAGTTTGTCGTAGAGTTCGTCAGTTGTATGTACACTAAGGGTCTTCCCTCCGCAGTTATGCCGTTTTCAACGACTCTCAAATTAACACCTTCTGAATTATCATATGTTCTCTCTAAAGCTCGAAGATAATCAACAATCTGTGAAACCGAAAGGTTTTTCAGTTTTATGTTCAATCAAACTTTGATAAATAGAGAGAGAGATTTATTACATTTCGTCAATAATATAACGAATACATTAAATAGTCGGTTAATTTGACAGCATTACAGTAATCGTCTTAAATTATTTTACCGTATCAATCCTACCCTGCCGACTTTTACATGCTTTAGCTTTTTCTGATACCATCCGTAGCATCGTAGCCATAGATATAAAATTTACAAAGGAATTAATTTTTAAAATGGATTCGTTGAACAAAGTTTAAAATTCTTACTTCATTATAACGGTTATATTCGTACAGGTTAAACGCGGTGTCGCTGACATTGTTAAATGACTTTATGGACACTTCGTCTTTCTTCATCAAGTATCTGCAAAAATTATATACTTATTTATATGTCATTCAACGATGGTAGGGCCAAGCAATCTTCGCTTTTGCACGAATGAGCAGTTCCATCCGAACCACGATAGTACTACGAACTCGCAAAATACCGGCGTGAAGTGGAAGTATTAAACTTCTGCGTTTCGTCTGATGAGTGAGGTAACCGGGGCCCACTTTTATTATACGGTCGCAATGCATCTGTAACCCTACGAGTGTTGTAAATCTCCATGGGCGGCTTGTTACTTACCATCAGGTGAACACACACGTAAATAATGTGTGTAATTGTGTATGCACGTATGAATTTATACTTAGCGTAATAAAAGAAAACTTATCTAAATCTTTTATCTCCTGAGCCAAAAATAAATATTTCCTTGGTTCCATGACATTTTGTACTTACTCGTATACGTCGTCAACAAAAACTTCCTTTGCTATATCAAAATCATTGAGTCGTTGCTCAAACCAGCTAGTAAGAGATGGCGGTACCATAGCTTGGCCGGTTATATTGTACTTTAAGGATGGTTTCCGCCAATAGTCGATGAGGTCGTCATTAATCATATACAACTGCTCTTGTTGTTTTTCGTCCTCCAATTTAATTTTATACACTTTGTACCTGCGAAAAGGCAGTAATAAAGTAAGTAAAGTAAAGTAACAGTCTGTACAAGTCCCACTGCTGAGCCTCCTTTGTACAAAAGGATTCAGCATTTAAATAGTGCTGGCATAGAGATTTGAAGTGTTGCCTGAGTACTTATGTTTATTTATTGGTTTCATTGCCTTATATTTATATATTAGCTTATAAACCGAAAAGAAAAAACAGTGAGAACCGAAAACAGTAGTGGACGCAAACACTAAAGATATTACTTTTTTATGTGAAAAGTTGTCAAAACATCAGGTTAGGTGCTCGTAATCTGATGTTAAGTGAATAAAGCCGCCCAAGGGCATCTGCTGCAGATGACTGCTTAGTAAAAATAATGATGAATACGCCTCTTTTCTGAATAATTATTTACTCCAGCACTACATGATGATATAGAACAAACAACTCTAGGATGATGACAATCTAGGTTCCTAATGGTGCATGAGCTCGAAGATACAGTTTTACGTTCCATGTTTCTAATTACGAGGTCTTAAATCTTATCGCTTAAATCCACTCAGCTGATAAAGATTATTTAATGTCATATAATCTACAAGCGAATAACCTACTACAATTCGATGGAACCATGCATTTGATGTCGTTATCAAGATGCCGATCAATAAAATTTAAATTGAAATCAAGGATAACAATGTTAAGCTCTCAACTAATATTAATTGTATTGCATAGAATAGTGTAGTTTTTTTTTGTTTCTATTATATTTCATCATTTGTTAATTTTAAGTTTCATATGGAAATGTTGTGCATACCTTTAAGTTAAATACATATATAGTATAATTCCGTTGGTACCTGTAAATCTTTATTAATATTGTTCTGTATGTATTTAGTTGGTAAGCCTAAATAAATAAAATAAAAAAATAAAATAAATAACAATATCATTTATTTAATTAAAAACTGTGTCAAGTCCATCGAAGAATATATGCCGAGTCATAAAGCTAGATGACATATAGTATATTGAAGTAAAGGCGAGCGCTCGGACCCGGATGTCACAGTTATAATAAGAAGTGTAATATTAGTTTAATATTCGTTTAGTTTTATTTTAAAGCGCATAGAAGCGATGGCTTAGTAGTTGGGCCTGAAGGAGGGCGTTTTAAAAGTATGCATGCATATCAATATTTTAAACATACATATATTGAACATACTGCAATACGAGTAAGGTACTTATCATAACACTCACCCCATATATTCCTCATTTTTGGCATTTGCACTACAAATTGTAACAGCAAAGGCTAGAATGGTAAAAAAGTACTCTTCTCCCATTCTCACAACACCAGTCTGAAACGTTTGCTTTAAATGTCATATTACTCAATGGGGTAATCTTATCGTTTGATACGTAGGTATAATATATAGATTAATAATTACATATGTAAATGTCATTTAAAACTGATAATTTGGAGAACAATTTTATAAGATAAATGGGGATGTCAATTCAGATAATATAAAAAATTAAATGTTTCACATGAACAATAACTATGTGGTTCATCACCGATTGAGGCTTAAGGAACCGCGGGTAATCCATCCCTTTAAGTCAAAATCTTTGACCGTGAGGGGATCCTATAATAAAATGGCTGGCGTCACTGGCGGCATTACATTGCAGTTATATGGGCCGTATAACTGCAATACATAACTGCATACAACTGACTCGGCGGTACGTTGTATCAAAGCCGGTGTACCGCAAGGTAGTTTTCTGTCGCCACACCTGTATGCGGTGTACACGGACGACATTCCCAACTTGGAGCAAAACGCCTCCGACTGGGATGAAGACGTACTGTTGGCCCTGTACGCGGACATCAGTGCGTCTTCTCACGTCGCGGTGATTGCGGCGAGGAAAATGCAGCGCCAACTGGACCTGCTGCCCGAGTGGCTGGATAAATGGCGGATGTCTGTCAACGTCGACAAGACGTCCGCCATATACATCCGCCGCATTAAAAACCAACCCACGCTTGAGCTGCGAGGTCAAGCGATTACCAACACGAACACCATTAGGTACCTTGGATGCCGGATAGACCGCTCGCTGTGCATGGCTCCCCAGGTCGGACACACCGTCCGACAAGCCAGAGCAGCTCGAGCCATGCTGTACCCTATCCTGGCGTCCGGGCTACCTATTAAGACCAACGTCAAACGTACGTCCGTTCGCGCTTGACCTACGCCTCTCCGGCGTGGTACGGTCTGGTCTCCGCCTCGCAAAGGCGCAGGCTCCAGGTGCAGCAGAACCTCGCCCTTCGAGTGATCGTGTGGGCCGGGCGTTACGTCAGGAACGATGTAATAGCTCGAGACCTGAGGATGGAATCCATCGAGGAGTTTGTGGTCCGGACGGCCCGTCGCATGTACGACAGGGCCGACAACGGGCCACATCCACACCTGCAGAACATCGCACCCCTCCACGCCCGTCCTCCTGGCGGGCGCCCGCTCCCATGAGAGCTACTGCGGTCGGAGGCCACTGGGGAGCCGGACCCGACCGCACTCCCGCCGTTGAGAAGACGATGTCGTCCACGCGTTACACACCGCGTGTAACGCTGTACACCCGCCAGTGCCGCTACCGCGGTCAGAGTTAAGGATGGCCGTTGGTCATCCTTACCACCGACCAGCCTTCGCTGGTCGAGATTACGTCCGAGGCATGGGGGTTGCCCCGAAACTCGAATAAAAGCAGGCCTCGCGCGCCAGCTTCGTACATCACCAACTGCAATATAGGTGGAGTCATGGGAAGTGAATGTTTAATTTAATATTACTCAAACGTTGAACTGTTGTGTTTTTGGAATTTCTGCGTATAAATCACCGTTTATTGTTTCCCGGTGTACGGAAGGAAATGTTCGGTGTAGGGTGATAGACTATTAGAAATGAATAAAAGCTGTAAAATTTAGCAAGAGGCAACTGTGCCTACCTTCTCAGTGTAACAGACCGCGTACAAATCATTTTTCCCCTAATAACTATATCGTAAAATTTCTGTTTATTTCATTTTTGTGAATATATCTTACTAGAAAAAGTTGCTCATTTTCCTTTGAAATTACTTTTTCAAATAACGTTTGCACTGCGACATAAGAATGCGAGAGAAGATGCAAAATGTAACAAGAAGTAAACAGACATTAGCCTCATAAAGTAATACAAAAACGTATTACGAATTCTTTTTCAGTTGTGAAGTTGGCAAAGCTGTACTTTAAAGTAATAATGTTTCAAAAATAAGAACCAGCTAACGGAGTAGGAGAGGTTATAGTAAAATATTTACCACTTTTGTTTTAAACGAAAAGAAACATGTTAAAATAAAGATAACTTTAATATCGAACTTAGTTGCCTTATATTTTAAAAAAAAAACTGAACTTGATCTACGACACACCGTTTTTTTTTATAATGATTTACGCAAATGATGCTTAATGTAATTCATAAGGTCTTGCAGTGTAGTATGTTTAGATTTGATTTTATTAATATTTATTTATTAATATATACATAAAATCTCATTTATTCAGCTTACAAAAGTAATATATGGTGTCGAATTTTCTATGAAAGATACTTGAGGTCATATAAGGCTGTGATGATTCCACCACATCCCAAGACAATATGCACCAAATAATTATTGTCACAGCAACACACGTCAGGTAAAGTTAGCATAATATATGTGTATAGAATAATTTACCTATTATATAGTTTTTATTAGACTAGATAGTAATAAAATTAAAAAATTATTGTATTGCTTAAATTTGATTTATTTTTTCTCTTCCCTCTGTGACGAAAACTTTATAACGATAAAATGCTCAGTCCCTTATTCGCTATATAGAGTTTACATTGTAATCTCTAACGGGGTAATGAATGCCCGCCATCTCTGTTTCAAATAATAATGCAAATTTATTTGAAGATACTGATATCGATTTGGGTTTTAACAAATTATTTAGGTCTTTTAAAACTGTAAAGTCATTAGCAATTAAGATGTAAATCGAGTAATCGTAATACTATCAATTATTTTTATCAAAGTTGTCGTAGATTTTGAGTTTGATTTTGTCTGAAAGGGTGATATAAAATTGTTCTTGATTTCAGAATCTTATTGATTATAAAATTGCCTTAGTCATTGTCAAAAAAATCCAGTACTAAATTTCATTAGTGAATGTATTCAATTCACTGAAATATTTTAGGACCTATGTCAGTAACTGAAATCTCATCGAAATATGGCTTCTATTAATACTCAGAATTGTAAAATTACAGAAAAAAAATCCTTAAAATCAAGAAAAAAACTTTTGTAGGTTTCGGAAACCGTAGTACAGTTCGTTACTTAACTGAACTGTTCATTGTTTATTACAATAGATGCTAGGAACGGAATGCAATTAAAAATCTCACAAAGTTTCGCGTTGTTCCTAGAAAATAATTATTCGAATTAACATAGGTATTGTGCGATACAATTAAGGTGAAAATTTAAAAGAAATTATCCGCTCTTCTCAACTTATGTTGGTGGTACACAAAGGAAGAAAGAGGGTCTCCCATGATACAAAAAGAAATGTAAGAAACCTCCCGTACCATGAAAGACCTTTTCGTGTGTGGCAACATGAAACGAAGGTTGTTAATGCAATAATTTATTATTTTGATGATTAATAGTACTTATTTATTACCTTTACATAGTATAAAACAAAGTTTTTGTGATGTTTTTGCGCTAATGTTTTTACGCTTAGATCTTTTAAACTACGCACCGTATTTTAATTTAGTTTTCAAGAATAGATAGTAATTCAAGCGGAACGTTTATATATAGGACACATGTATGTTACAGTAGAGAAAAGCCGAGAAATTCAGTATCTACATTACACTCGTGCGAAGCCGGGGAGGTTCGTTAGTTATTACTTAAACGAAATTAAATAATAAATTATTGTATTGAATGGTACATCAATAAACAATATGTTACATATTTTATTTTCGTGTAGATAAAACCTTACGTCATGTAACGCATAATATTTTTTCTGATATAAGGATTAATAATAAAGCTATCATGGTTATGGATTTAATTTTAATCGGTTTGATATATAACTTTTTATTAAATTCATCGTTGTATTTAATTTCCAAAAATGCAACAAAAGGCGGAATTGCCATACCGTTATGGTCAACAATAAGTTCGGGACCTCGTGATGAAAACAATTCCATCGCCTTTACCCTTTATCATAGGAACCGATCACACCGTTTGGCTTGCACTTTATATCATTTATGAATTCTATGAATGTAAAAACATTTGTTATGTGACTGACTGCGGCAAACGGTGGTAGTGCCACGCAGCAGCCTCGGCTGTTGCAAGAATGGGCAAGCTCGTCCGGGTAAGTACCACGACCTCGCAGACGACCGGCGTAAAGTGGAAGTAGAATACTTTCGCGTTTCGTCTGGTGAATGAGGTAGCCGGAGCCCAATTTTCAAAAGGTTGTCAACGCATCTGGAACCCTCGGGTGTAGATGTCCATGGGCGGCGGTATTCACTTTTAATAAAGAGGGCCCCGGCTTGTTTTAAACAATTAACGATGTACAATCATCTTTCTGTTAGCCAAAAATTCCACAGGGGGGTGTATATCGTTAGAACTCTCCTTTCGAAAATTAATTTTATCTTTAATTAAAAAAAAAATGTTTCCACAAAGTGGTTGTGCGTATCAGTAAATAGCGTAATAAACGCACAGCGATGGATCGTCAAGTTTCAAGGTGGTATCGAGGTAAATTGGTGGTTTCAGGAGTTATGGTGGTGAAACTCAGCAGTAGTTATAAATCCGAAAAAATCCACCGTGATATATGCGATAGAATATTTCAAAAAGATATCTTTTAACAACATCTCTTTACGAGGCCAAAAGGTTGGGGTGATTTTAGAGGACTTGGTCATCGACCATTCGAGCACGTCTTCATTGGAAGCGTTCAAATAAGACCTGGTGTTGGATAAGCCCTGGCATGAGACGAAAACATTATTGTTTGTACAGCCGAATCTGTGCTTTATAGAGCTGTAAGTATTGGTCGTAAAAGAAGCACAGAGCACAGTCAACGGCTATCGGGGTCACGGTCCGCACCGAACCTCGATAGCCCGTAGGCGACACTCTTTGGCCAACGCACGCATGAGCACATGCGTGGCCCTACCAACTGTGGAGGGCCTCAAACCCGTGGGTTCTGGCTAGCCCACTGGTTCTGCGTTTGTTGAAGCTTTAATAGTCTCGGGACTGAAAGCGTTAACATCAGTTAAAA